GATATCAGAGATAATCCAAGCAAAGATGCTAGTCTCTGATAAAAAAAAAAAGAAAACATTCAAATTGCCTGCAAAGACGGGCTTATACTATGAGCCTTGATGTCCAAGAATCAAGAGTACCCCATTTGCTCACCTAGTGGCAACAACCCCTTCTGCCTAAGGATGAACTTCCCATTCATTCACCCTAAAGCAATGTCTCATCCATGTACACAGATCTACACAACTTTTTTAATAGTGAAAAAGCCTAGAGAAGAAAGAGACATAAAGGAAAACCACACCAGTAAGCTATCCAGAATAATCAACAATCACAAATGAAGAAAAGAACTATGACCAAAAAAACACTACAGAAGAAACAGAGATATTCTATAGAACCTAACTTGAAAAAATAATTTGTATACAATTGAAGACAAAAAGCAAAAAACAAATAGCTTGATACAAAAGAATTTTAGTACAACGGGGACATTTTGACTGATGAAGTTGAAATATTCAAAAAAATTAAATAATATAATAAATTAAATATGCAAAACATTGTAAAACCACAATTGGATAAAAACTAAGAGAGAAAAAAATGAGAGACAGAGAGAATCAACCTAGCTGGTCTATCATACAACTGCTAAGAGTTTTTTTGAAAATAAAATACATAAAAAAGAAAGAATATAATTATCCTTAAATATGTAAGCCATTCCCAGAGGAAAGTCATGAGAGGCAAAACAAGGTGAGTGAAGCAGACTCACATTTAGATTCATACCTGTAATATTTCAGTATAAAATGTACCAAAAAAAAATCACAAAAGTTTCCAGAAAAACACACAGAGAGATTTTGTAAAAAAGGATAAGAATCAGGATGATATCAACATTTTCTACCCCAATGTGATACTAGTATATAATGAAGCATTACCTTCAAAGTCCTAAGTTACTGTGAACCTAGAATACTATATGCAGCCAAAAATCTCCCATACTCAATACACCCTTTGCTTTAAAAAGTTAGTTATGAACATACTCCAACAAAAGGAGAAAGATAACCATGAAAGACCAAATCACAGGACCCACGAAATGGTGCTTTTAAGAGTGAAGTGGAAGAACATCCCTGGAGATTGTTGTGCACAGATGTAGAGAAAGGTGGTCAACATTGGAAAAGGAAAACAGAGAGTTACTGAAGAGGAAGAAATAAGAGTAGGCTGGGCACGGTGGCTCATGCCTGTAATGCCAGCACTGTGGGAGGCTGATCACCTGGGGTTAGGAGTTCAAGACCAGCCTGACCAACATGGTAAAACCCTGTCTCTACTGCAAATACAGAATTAGCTGGGCGTGATGATGCATGCCTGTAATCCCAGCTACTAGAAAGGCTGAGGCAGGAGAATCACTTGAACCCGGGAGGCGGACGTTGCAGCGAGCTGATATCAACACCAACATCTAGCCTGGGCGACAAGAGTGAGACTCCGTCTCAAAAAAAGAAAGAAAGAAAAGAAGTGTAAAATAGAGTATGAGTGATCTTCAAAATATTTTAAAGGCTTGTCTTGATTTTTCAAGGAGAAAATGAAATGTAATTAAAACTAAAAAGCCAAAAGAATCTAAAAGAATGCCATGGCCCAAATATGAAACATCCAGAATGTGGTAAGACACTGAACAGTTAATGCACTATTTAAAAAGCAAACCATTTGATCTAGATGCCAAGAGAATCTCTTTTTAAGGTCCCAAAGACAAAGCACTGGACCCCAAGTGAAAAAAAATAAAATCTTGCCCCCATCAGTGATGAAAAATATGTGTTATCATAATATTAACAATGTATACTGCTTTTCAACTTTTAAAATCAACTTAGAGACAAAAGTTGGAAAGTTTAATTATTTCATTTTGGTTATAAAACAGAATATAATGTTATCAGTCTTGGCAATGTAAAATAACCAGGTGACAGAAAATGGGAATTGGAAGGGAGGCAAGAGTGGTGGATGTAGGAGCAGAGGGCATTAACATCATCTTCTTACCTAGTGAGCAGTCAAGAGATTCTGAGAAAATTTAATGGAATAAGACATAGAGACTGAAATAAATAAAATCAAGAGGTAATCAGCAGAAAAAATAAAATATAGGGGCAGGGCGCAGTGGCTCATGCCTATAATCCCGGCACTTTGGGAGCCCGAGGCAGGTGGATCACAAGGTCAAGCGATCGAGACCATCCTGGTCAACATGGTGAAACCCCGTCTCTACTGAATATACAAAAATTAGCTGGGCATGGTGGCACGCACCTGTAATCCCAGCTACTCAGGAGGCTGAGGCAGGAGAATTGCTTGAACCAGGAGGCAGAGGTTGCGGTGAGCCGAGATCGCACCATTGCACTCCAGTCTGGGTAACAAGAGTGAAACTCCGTCTCATAAATAAATAAATAAATAAAGTACAGGTAATATTATAACTCGAAACTGAGGAAATGCTAAAATGAAGACAGCAGGGAATGCAAGCCCACCAAATTGTTATGTGTCATAGTGGTAAATAAATTATGTTAACATTTATAAATCAAAAGTTATGGACACTGATACAGACACCTGTGTGTGCATGTAAACACATGTATGCATGTGTGTGCATGAGTGCATGTGGTAAACCCTTGATTCCTGAATAACAATTTTTAACATATTCTTCACATTTTGATAGTTCTAATTATGAATTCCACTTTCCCAAAATAGAATGTAAAAAAACTGTTTACCACCCTCTATTATAGCCAAGATAAAGACATGACCCAGGCTCCACCGATCAAACCTAACCCTGCGAAGAAACACATAAAGGAATGGACTGAGCAAGGAGAAGTCCATTTTCCTGGCACAAGTGTGAAATGTGTTTCCAGTTGGAAGTGGCAGCAACCAATCCAGTCGTGTTGGCATATGTGCACTCTGCCCCAGCACATTGTTTTATGCCACTTAGGAACAAAGCAAAACGCAAAGCAGAGCCACAGCGCTGACTCAAGCCTCAGAGAAATATAGTACCATACACTATGTCTCTTGGCTCAGACTGGCCCATCTGCTCTGATTTAGAAGTGCTTATTACATGTTTCTCCCCAACTTTGATGCATTTGCCCTGAACTCCATAACTCAACAAGCTCACTCCTTCCTGATTCTGGTTAAAAACCCTTTCTCGCTCTAGTTACCAAGCTGTTTTAAGTGGTTTGCTCCATGTACTTTTATTTTCCATAAACCCTGTTATTTTTAGTGAGCATGCCTGGAGAATCCAATTTACTCTGCAGAAATGTATATAATGCATTATAGCAGAAATATCTGTGCAGTGTATTGCTAGAGATATAGAAGTAGCCTTCAGAAGAATAAAATACAGAAGTGGTTAAAAGTTGCTGTGTTTAGGGAGTAGGGATGGGGAGGGAGGATGATACTTTGCATTACAAGCTCCACTATACTGTGTGTTTTAGCACTATGTTAATGGATTACTTGAATTTTTAAATCTCTTCTACTGCACTCAGAAAAAGAGAAGGGAAATACAGAAAAAAACTGTAATGATACAATCACAACATCAAGTAGATAGAATATTAAAAAATAAAATTGAGATAGTTATGAAAGTGAAATAGTTATGTAAGAAACTATGTAACTTAATTAAACACATAAAAGAAAATATAAACAAGTAAAGAAACAAACCAAGTTCCTGGAAGAAAAAAATAAAAGCACAATGAGTATATGTGTTTGGGAAGATTGACTATTCATATCAATAAGGGTAGTCTCAGCGTTTTTTGTTTTTTTTTTTTTTTTTTTGGTTTTGAGATAGAGTTTCACTCTTGTTGTCCAGGCTGGAGTACAATGGCACAATCTCAACTCACTGCAACCTCTGCCTCCCAGGTTCAAATGATTCTCCTTTCTCAGCCTCCCAAGTACCTGGATTATAGGCACCCACCACCACACCCGGCTACTTTGTATTTTTAGAAGAAGCAAAGTTTCACCATGTTGGTCAGGCTGGTCTCAAACTCCTGACCTCAGGTGATCCACCTGTCTCAGGCTTCTAAAGTGCTGGTATTATAGAAGTGAGCCACCATGCCTAGCCCCAGTTTTAAAATAGATAAACTAGAAAGGTTAAACCTTTTGTTAAACCTTTGTACATCACAGTTTCCATAAATTTTTAAGTTCTATTATCACAGCTTAGCACTGCAAAGTCAGGGTGTTAAAATAGAAAAAGAAATTCTTGTTGATTACTGAATAAATACTACAATTTTTAAAATAAAAGTACAAGTTTAATGGGAGAGAGTTAAATGGCCATCAAAGAACAGAAAGTCAACACATTTAGATTTTTTACATTACAACTAAAATGTTAAACTAAGAACATAATGTACCTATAATCTTTATTCATCATGAAATGAGGTAATGGATTTCTTTCTTTTCACTGCTATTCTAACAGCGAAAGCATATAGTTTAAACAAAATGAAAATCTTGAGTCAAACTAAAATGATTTAAGTGTATAAGGGGACACCAAAAACACATCAAATGGGATGTGAAATGGAAAAATATAATTACATAATTTAATCTTGCTTTCTCCAATTCCATGTGGAAAGAAAAAAAAATGCTACATGAAAGAAAATACAATAGTGTGATTTACAGGGTGTACACAGGTCACATTTGCCCACCTATAAAACATGTATCTTTATATCATAAAGGTGGGCAAATGTGAAAGAAAATTTCTGACATGTGATAAAATATGTTGCAAGCTGACATTTAGAAGCATTTGATCAGCAAAACTCTCAAGTGATAATTTTTATTATCCAGCAAGCTGGGTTAAAGCCAATGCTGCACCTTACTGGCTATAAGCTGCTCCACCTTCCCCAAACCTCAGTTTTCTTCCACATAAAATAATGACTCTGATATCTAATTAGAAGAATTGTTTGAATACAAAAGGAAATATGCATAACATATGTAGTTTTAACTTTTTAAATTTATCAGCAACTAAGTCCTATTGTGTAAGATATATTATACAACATTAGGTCGGAACCTATAGTTATTATTTTAGTCTTCTTTAAAAACGTACCTAAAATGTAAATCGTAATAAAAAAAGACTCCATGGCATTACTGATACTCTCAGTATATTTTTCTTCTAGAGGACTTAGCAGTTCCTTCTTTCATTTCTTTCACTGAAAAACCAAATACCACATGTTATTTTTTAGATCATTCAACAAATATTTACTAAGTATCTAATATAGTCTAGACTCTTCAAGACTCTGGTGAATATAGCAATGAACAAAATATACAAAATTCCCTGCCCTCATGGGACTTACAGGAAGTGGCCAACAGCTGTCAAGGCATTCAATGTAGTAGCCACATCCCAAGAGAGCATTCAACAGCCTAGAACTTGTTCTAATTAGTACAACAACTAACTAGTTGTGATCATGACAAAGAAAATCTTACAGGAAGAATGACTTGGCAAGAGAGACCAACTTTCAAATTGTCAGCTATCCTGTTTTGGAACAGAAAAACAATTCTCATCTGAGAGGAGGGTACCACCCTACCTGTTCTCTCTGCAAGGTCAAACCATATCCAAAATAATTGCAAATTCAAAATGAGACTGTTTTTCCTTACTTCTAATGGAAAGCATTTATGTCTAAAAGATTTTTCAATCATTTCTTAGTTTTTTTTATATTACAGGCTTATTATAAGCATAAAAGAAATAGACACAAATTTTAACATGACTTAAAATGACTTTACTTACAGTCTGTCATCAAAAATATAAACTACTTTCAACAATTAAACACAGCATATAACAAGAATAATTTTAAACCCATATGTCCTTGTACAGTCAAAAAGACATATAATTTTACCTAGCAATAGTTTTTGATTAATTTTTAACTAAAGGTTTAGAGAAAAAAAAGTGAGAAAAGATTTCTAATGTATTGTTTTCAATTCAAAAGACAATCAGTTATTCTGAAATATAAGCTAAAACATTTAGGTTACATCATAATAATGCCCTAGAACAAAACTACTGTCATATTATTTATTCAGAACTATAACATTGGTTTAGTTTACAGCGGCAGAGCCAGTTCCCGCTGTGGAAACCTAGTGGTGTTAACCACGAAACTTGGCCTAACAGAGGCCTCTAGTGGTTACAAGTGGTTACTAGCTCCCCTTTCCACCCCAGTCCCACAACTGTTTGAGAATATTCCTGTTCTCATTAGCTTTCTCTCTGTCCCCCTCTGCTCCCCGCAAACAGACATAGCCTCAAGCAAAATAGCTACTATTCAGTCACTGATTTATTCACTTACGCCCATGTAACCAATTTTTAAAATATATATTTTAACGGATAATACGTAAATATTGGAGATTCTCTTAGGACAAATTCTTCAACTTCTCCATAAAACCAATTTAAAGCTATTCAGTGCAAAATACAGACCCTAAATATTATCTTGCTAGTGTTAGCAAGCTTAATAAAACATGAAATTTATGGTAGTCTAAATCGACCCTATGAAAATTTTAAAAAAAAATTAAAGGTTACCAAGTTAGAATTAAATTTCTAATTTAATCTACAGGTCTTCAGAACATGTTTTGCACCATTCACAAAAACTTAGTGATTAACACCCAGGTGCAAATGCAAACATTAAACAAAGTAGGTCCTTCATCCGATTACCAAGTTTTGACTCCTTCCCCATTCCTTTTTGCTGAAGACCTCTGCTCCTCAATCCTCTCCATTCCCATACACCCTGCCAGCCTTATAGTGCCTGTCTTGTTGTTATCCAGTGCCCCCAGTGAAGTATTTTGTAGCAAGAAAGGAAATATCTGGAGTGAAAGGATAGGAGGAAAGAATGCTAAATCTAAGGACACTGAGCCCTCCCTCCCCGCTACAGTCACTCCCTCATTCCACTATGGAATTACTTGCAGCTCCTTTCCCCTAGGGCCTTGTCCTGTGCCTGTGATAGCCTACTTCTAAAATATCTTGGGACTAGAGATGCCCAAAGTGCACCCAAAGACCAACTATTCATTTCTATGGGCACATCTTCATCTTCTGCTACATAACGTATGTTTAAAAGAGAAAGGAAAGGGAAAGCAGAAGAAAGAGCTGGAAAGAAAAGTGGAGGGAACAGAGATGAAGATCTTTTCTCTATCATTTCCTAATTTTGTTAAAATTTAAAAAAAAAAAAAAAAAAAAACACAAAAACACTTACCAAGAACTTCTAAAAGGTAGGAGATTACTCTGGGCAGAGAGTGAGGGGGCAGGAAGCATGGGAGATAGTATCTTGTAACGGGGTGTCTTTGAACAGAGAACCCTTATCCAAAGCAGTGCACAGGGGCTGCGATGGCTACGAAATTCAGCAGGGCAGATCCAGTTTTAAAAGCTGCTACAAAAATAGTAACTCCTATCTATTTAGAAAATGTAACTATCCATAAAACTCATTTCTTAGAAAATTAAGCATAGCTGAAGTTTACTGTACAGTCAATTTCACTTTGCCTTTCAAAGTAGAGAAATTGGTCCTAATGAGAATTCAAATAAATAATTTCTGTATGCCATTATGAAACACAACCATTAAGAAAAATGAAGTGCAAGGTCAAAGTAAAACTTAAAACTTTTAAATAAATATTTCAATTTAGAATAAACTAGTGTTATTTATTCATAGAATACTGTTCTAAAGTTACTTTTTAAACTTTTGTATGAGCACCAAGAATAAGAAAAAGCCCCAAATTGAAAACATTTTAATATTATAACAGTTTTCATAGCATTGTTAAACTTTCTCTTGCTAATATTTGTAACTTTTCAGCAAGTATTTATTGAGCACTAATCCTATGACAGGCATTGCTGCAGGTACTGGGACTTTCTGAACCAAAAGACAAAAATCTCCGCTGTCACAGGACTTGGAAGATCAACAATGTAAATAACAAGATTACATTAACATTTTAGCTCATGCTAATCACTACAGAGCAGAGGAAAGAAGAAAAAGACGAAAGGAAGTCTTGGTAGGATTCAACATCAAATAAGCTGGTCAAGGAAGGCCTTAATGGTATTTGAGTAGTGCCTAACAGAATAACAGAGTGAATAATGATATTTGGAGAAAAAACATTTTCTAAAGGGTGGTGGGATGTGGAATGAGATGGCATCAGGTATATTCTTATAGGCCATGGTAAGGAATTTGACTTCTTTCTCAATGGGAAATCACTAAGGCCTTTTGAGACTAGAAGGAATATGATACGGCTCAGACTGAAAGTATCAACTCTGCCTATGACAAGGAATGGTCAGATGTGCAAGATGGCTTCTGACCATCTTTGTTAGGCGGCTATGGACAAAAACCTAGGTGACAAATGCCAGCGGTCTGGAGCAGGATCAAGCAGTGGTCAGATTTTGGACATATTATGTAGGCAAAGTCAGCAGGATATGCTTTGGAATTTAATCTGGGAGGCAGGACACAACAAAAAAAGAGAAATTTAAAAGACTATGTTATAAAGGCAAATTCTTATAAATTTTAATAATTACCATAATTTAATCTTCAGGTAAAGTTTAAACATGTCAGAATTATGTCCATTTTTTCTTCTCCATAGATGTGAAAATCACCTAGACCTTGTCAATGACTGTGCTTCAATTCTGTTTTGCATTGTTGTTATGCAGTTGATTTTAGATTAAATGACAATAATTCCTGAGAATCTGAGTTTCTCTCAAAGCCTTTCGTTCATTCTCCTGTCAAAAACAAGTTCTTATTTTTGAAGGCAACTTCTCTGAATTTCTCCTTATTTAAGAAAACTCTTCCTTTCAAGTTTGACAGCACCTCAAAAGCTATCCGGCCTGGCCACTGCTTTGTTAACAGTACCACCGCTCCTTTTTAACTCATTTTGAATGTGGTCTGTATGTCAGCAGGAAAGTCCATTAAAGCCCATAACCTTAACCACTGTTCTTACTCCTGGGAAGGCTTGGGAGAGAACAGCTCTGCTTAAGAGCTCCTGTTTCACATCAAAATGACAACTGAGCTAAGTTGCCGGGAGAAACTGAAGGAAGGGTGTGGACAGAGCTGCATGATAAAAGGAAACTTCCTGGCTAAGGACACCAAGGCTCTCCCTGAGTCCATAAAAGGGCTCACTACAATGTGAAGAAAGGAAATGAATTAAAAGGAAGATGTAGCTTCTTTTTATTTGTTAAAAAACTTTTTGTTGAAGTTTAACGTATATGCAAAAAAAAAAAGGTGCACCAAGTGTTCTGCTAAATTTTCAAAAGTTTAAATAATCAGCAATCAGAATAAGAAACTGTCACCAGCAACCCCCTAGCACTGCTCCAATTATTAACCACTCTCATGATTATCACTAGTCTGACATCTAACACCACCAATTAGTTTTGTCTATTTTTGACCTTTATATAAATGAAATCTTTCAATATGTATTTACTTGAGTCTGGCTTCTTTGTGTTTGTGAGATGAATACACATTATTCCGTTACATTTTTAGTTCATTTATTCTCACTGGTGAACAATATTACATTTACTTATTATTGCTCCATTCTCTAGTTGATGAGTAGTCAGTTTACAGTGTGGGGCTACTACAAATAATGTTCCCATGAACATTTCTGTGTTTATTTTTTGTATATTTCTTCATATATACACATAAAGAACTGGAATTGCTAGTTTACAGGGTTCAGATAGATACTGCCAAACAATTTTCCAAAATGGTTGTACAAATTTATATTATCAACAATGGTCTATGAGAGTTGAATTGCTGCTCCACATTCTTGCCAACATTTAGTGTACCTTTTCAAGACTTTTCCCCATATTTCTATTGGATATTTGCCTTTTCTTTTTGTTGTAAAAGTACTTGATATTTCTGGATGTACGTTTCCTTGAGTTTCCCCAAATCTGTAAATTATCTGTTTACTCTCTTACTGGTGACCTTTTGATGAATAAATTTTCTTAATTGTGATAAAGCACAATGTTATCAGTCTTTTCTTAATGTGTTTCCTTAGTGCAAAAGATCACATGAATACATTCACCTATGCTTTCTCCCAAGAGCATATTTTTTTTTCTTTCACAATTAGATCTGCAGCTCAGCTGGAATTGATGTTTGTGTGGTAAGAATTAATACAATTATTTTTCATAGTACCTAAATGAATCAACATTCTCTATTGGAAAAAACTATCTTTTCTTCTCAAAATTTCAAATCACCTTTGTCCTGAATCAGATAACCAGCAGGTCTGTTTCTAGACCCCTATTTTATTACATTGGTCTGTGTATTTTTATACCTATATAATATTATAATTACTACAGCCCTAATAACACATCTCAACATTTAATAATTAAGTCTTCCAGTTTTGTTCTTCTAGATTGCTCTGGCTCTTCTTGGCCTTACAATTGACTAACATGCTATATGCTTTAGTTTATGGGTTTTCAATTTTCCTGAATAATGTTTTTTGATTTTCTGTGCAAAGTTCTGACGTAAGTATCACTAAGTTTTTTCCTAGATAGTCCTAATCTCAAGAGGAAAGCTGTCAACATTTCACTAGGAATTATAATTTTTGCTGCAGGCATTTTGCAGCTACTTTTTCATCAGAGTAAGATAATTAACTTCCATTTCTAGGTTGCTACAAAATTTTAATTATGAATCAATACTGAATTTTAATAAATACTTCTCTTGCATTATCAAGATAATCAGTTTTTCTTTATCTGTTTTCTGTTAATATGAGGAATTGCATCAACTGCTTTGTGAATATTTATGAACATTACCTATGTGATCTACATTTATTTTAAAAGTTGTCTATAATTTTCCTTTCTTATACTATCCTAAATAGGTTTGATATTAAGATTATGCTGGCCTTATAAAAAAAAATTGAAAGTTTTCCCTTTGATTCCACTCTCCGTAATGTTGTAACCAAGCGAGCATGAAATCACCAGTGAGACAAAGGCTAGCCCAAATTACAGGGTCTTTATTGCCAGCAGCCATGGAGGACTCGCATCACCTCTTAGGTGGGGGTGAGGGCGAGGGGCTTCGGACATTCCGAGGGCCAGTGGACTTTGGACATTCCAATTGTTATTAAGTGCTTTACAGAAGTCAAGATGAGTGTTAGTTTATACATTGTCTGGGTAGGGTGGAAATTACAGACCTTAGTTACTTCTTAGAAGTCACGGGGGCCAAGATGGCGTGGGTTTGGACTGCTTGCCTGTCACATTAGGGTTACAGAGAGAAGTTTCAATGGAAAGCCAAGGTATGGTCGAGGTATGCAGTTTATGGGGAAATTACTGTGTCACAGTAAGGGTGTGCATAAGGACTATATTTTAGATAATTCACCAATAAAGCCATTTGGGCCTGGGGTTTTCTTTGTATGGAGTTAATAACATTTAATTTTTTAATAGATCATAACTATTTAGATTTTCTAATTTCTCTTGTATTAATGTTGAATGATTTATATTTTTCCAGGAAATTTCAGCTTTACTCAAAACTTATTTGTAAAATCATTCATAACATCCTCTTTATCTTACCACTGTCTGTGGGCTCTTCATCATACAAACAAATATTTGTCATTTGTTTCTGCTCTATTTTTTCCATTAGTTAAAAGTTTATCAATTACATTAATCTCTTCAAAGATCTAAATTTTTACTTTATCAAATTTCTCTATTCTACAGATTCAACTTCAGTAATTTTTGCTCTTTATTATATAATTTCTTCTACTTTCTCTAGGTTTGATTTTCCTTCTGGAGATGGAAATTCAGATCATTAATTTTTTTAATTCTTATTATTTCCTACATTTATGTATTTACAGCTGTAAAGTTTCCTCTGAGCCTGGCTTACGCTGGTCTTTGAAATTTTTGATATATTATATCTTCATTAACATTCAGTTCAGTCTCTTTTCTAATTTTGTTTTAGTTTCTTTTGTAATCCACCATTATTTAGAAGTAAAGTACGTAATTTGTAGGAAGTTGAGGCTTTCCCAGTTGTCCTTTTCTTTCTCTTGATTTCTAACCGAATTCCACTATTGTTACAGAACATACTCTAAATGATTCTAAGCTTTTGGAATTTTTTAGGGTTGTATTTATTGCCCAGCATTGGGCCAATTTTGACAAATGCTACATATTCTATTAAAAAGAATGATTTCTGGAACAGCTTGGTACATAATTAGGACAAGTTTACAAATTGTTTTGTTCAGATCTTCTATACATATAACAATATTTTGTCTGCTTGATTAAGCAAGATTTAAGACGAATGCCTTAAAGTCTCCTGCTGTAACTGTAAATGTGTTCATACCTCTTCTGAGTTCTGTGTTTTCTTTGTTTAGTTTATTGCTTTTTTTATTTTAAAACTATGTTATTGAGGACAAAATAGGATTATGAGATATCTTCATGGTGGACTGGTCCCTTTGGCATTATGAAATGCTCCTCTTTATTCTAGTAATCCTTTTGCCTTAATGCTTTATTTGAAATTAGTATATCTACACCAGCTTTCTTTTCCCATCCCTTTATTTTCAACATTTTGATGTCCTTATATTTAAAATATGCCTTTTTAAGCTATGTGTGGTGGCAGTAGTTGTATTTCCTAATGAAGTCTGAGGATCTTAGACTTTTACTAGGTTTATTTAATCTTTTTGTATTTAGTTACTTCTATATTTGGGTTTATATCATCTTGTTATCTATTATCTGTTGACCCATCCACTTTTTTGTACTTATTACTTTTCTTTCTTTTGGAGTAACTAAATATTTTTATTAATTTATAGTTATCTTATTAACTTGCTAGATATGCATTCTTTCACCGTTATTTCAGTTGTTACATTAGCAATTATAACTTGTATCACTGATTATAACCTAATTAGAACATTACACTTCATAATAATCCTAGAAAAACAGAATATTTTAACTCTATCTAAAACCCCTGGCTTTTGTGTTTATTGTCTTACATTTCAATTCCATATATTTAACTTAAACTTCACAGAAAATTATCACAACTTTTTCTGACAATCAATATTAGGCTATAGGTTATGCTCTCCTCCGTATTTTCTTTTAGGATCATTTTCCTTCTGCCAAAGGGAGCTCCCTTGCAGTACCTTCTTTTACTGAGAGCTGCTAGCAGTAAATTCTCTCAATTTCTGTTTGCCTTAACTATTTTTATTTCATCTTAATTTTAAAAAGATACGGCCGGGTGTGGTGGCTCCTGCCTATAATCCCAGCACTCTGGGAGGCCAAGGCGGGTGGATCACGAGGTCAAGAGATAGAGACCATCCTGGTCAACAAGGTGAAACCCCGTCTCTACTAAAAATACAAAAATTAGCTGGGCACAGTGGTGCGCACCTGTAGTCCCAGCTACTTAGGAGGCTGAGGCAGGAGAATTGCTTGAACCCAGGAGGCGGAGGTTGTGGTGAGCCGAGATCGTGCCATTGCACTCCAGTCTGGGTAACAACAGCAAAACTCCGTCTCAAAAATAAATAAATAATAAATAAAATTAAATTACATTAAAAAAGATATGTTCACTGGGTATAGAATTCTAGGCTACCATAGTCAGAAATTTAAGATGTCATGCCACTGTGTATGTAGGTGTGGTTTTCTTTTAACACAGTCTTCTTAAAGGTTAACAAAGCTTGTGTAATGATGTTCTGAAACTTTAACGAGAAATTTTTTTAGATATTGTTGCTGATTGATTTTCTCTCTCTTCTTTTTCTGGAATTAGATCATATGTAAGACAGATCTTTTGACCAGATCCCAAATGTGCTTTATCCTCTTTTCTGACTTGCACTTTAATTTGGACATTTTCTATTAGCTACCCTTCTAGTTCATTGTTGTTATCATCTACTGAGTCTAATATGTCATAAGCCCATCTATTGAGTTCTTATTGTCAGATATATATATTTTTGATGGCTCCACAGAGTTTACTTGATCCATATACATACATGTACACACACACACACCCAATTCTCTAGGGTAATTCTCCATCCTCTTACCTCTTTGGTTCCTTCTTTTCTCTATGTTCCTAAGCATAACAATCAAGATGTCCTTGTCTACTAACTCCAATAGCTGGATCAGCTGTGCTTCTTTTTTCATTTGTTTCCTCTTTGTTATTGATCAAATACTCCTGTCTCTTCATCTACTTAGTAATTTTTTATTGAATGCTGGTTTATAGAAGTTCCAGATAATGAGAGGATTGACTCCTTGCTCTGCTGGGCAGATAGAGTAAAGGTGCATTAATTCAATAAGAAACTCAGAGTGGGTAGAGGCTGTGTTGTGAGTTTGAGATGACCTGGTCTACATGTGGTTTGACTCTAATTTTAAAACCTAATTCTCCATGGCTTTCAATTGAGAGTATGATTGGTCTTTCTTGCTTCATTATCAAGTGATAGCTTCATTATCCAGGTATTTTCTGCTTACTTTTCACCATTCACAGCTTTAGAATTTGGTAAATACCGTGACAGAAAGGTCAGGTATATGTTTAAATCCCCTCAAATTTCAATTCTGTCACTACAGCCCCACAAAACATGGGTTCTATATACCTGGATTCTATACACCTGGTTGAGACCAAATAGCAAGTGTCACCAACTAGAAAGCAGTGATAGGTCATCAGTGTCAATCTGTCGCTCATTTCAGGGCTTTGAACTCTCATAGCTGATTCTCTTAAGCCACTCCACTTCCACACACACGCACACACACACACACACACCACCACCACCACCACCACCACACACCCATGGGACAGGGTAGGTCTCTGTCTCTTAAGCACCTCAAACTCAAGAATTTTCTACAGTGCTTTTCAGAAGTCCCCAGCTTAGCTTTTTACTATCTGGTTCAGAACTGAGTGGAAAAGCTAGCTGTGGTTTCTAGGCCCATTTAAGTCTCTAATTTTGTAACTCCCTTGAGCAACATTCAAAACTCTGCTGCTTTCTCCATTCCCGGGCAATTGTTTATTTTGGTTTATAACTTCCAAACCATGCATCAAGGATTAAGCAATAAGTATGAATTCCTCAAGTGTCCAAGAGTCATTTTACTGTGCAGTGTGTTAATGTATGTGTTCGACCACCATTTTTGCCTTTAATATGCTTTCTTTTCTCAATTATGCACTCCAAAAGATACATACTGGGGTTTAGTTGACATGTAATGAATAAAACTGAGGAAAAAATGATTCATAAGACAAAACAACTGATAAAACACAACTAATTAAAAGAGATTATAACACAAATTTTGATTATTATAGAATTCATCAAGATGAATTTAAAAAGCTTCACTCTGGGGGTTAGGAAAAATCCTCATTTTCAATATAAATATTTGGTCATCTCTAAATCCTAAGAGGAAAATGCTAAATATCAAAATTTTTCCTCTTTTGGTACATCAAAAGAAAATAGGAGAGGTAACATCATCAGCAATGAAAAGAGTCTCAACTAGACCCAAAGCAGTCAAGAAGCTGGCTTTCACTGTTACAACTGGAGGGTCATCAGCTGGAAAAATAACATGAGGAAAGCATCCCAAAACAAAATAACCATGCTAGTAAGTCAGAGGTCCTATGAATCACTTTCTCATTCAGTAGAGATAGCCTGTCTCCTCTTTCATCTTTCCCAGTAGGATCAAGCCCTAAGGAAAATGCATCTGCATTCTAAGATCAGACAAAGATGTAACCAGCAGATTCAACACAGTGATGCAAAAGCAAACTGATATCGATGTAAATATAAACAATTTCTCCCTTCTTTCTTCCTCTACGTCTCCTCTCTTTGCTTCCATGGTTGCCAACATGGAGTATTAATATACTTGTGCTTTACAATAAGCTGCTACAAATCTTTTTTGAATGTTTAAGGTATACACACACACACACACACACACACACACACACACAGACACCCCTAAATAAAGTTATAAAAGTGCTTGCCCTGACAATATATGAACACACCTGCACTGCGCCATGACAAACATCATATCCCCATACAGAAGCACCATCTACACTAAAAATGGAAACCCCAGGATAAATGGTGGATACATGCTGCAAACAAGAAGCCAACTCTATTTGGAACATTTGGCTATTTGAAAGAAAACCTGGTGTCTGACTTGATTTGAAAATGCCTACAATAAGCATTAAATTATTTTCATGTAGCTATGAATAACTCAATCTGAAATAGTGCTCTTAATTACAGCAACTACAAATAGAAGGGCTCAGGATATTGTTGAAACCATTTGTAAGCATGTCAAGTGTTTAGATGGTATCAAGTGAGTCTTCAGAAACATTTACTATAAGAAATCTTACATCTTCTCCTAAATTATAAAACACTCTTCACCTAAAAAAATCCCAGGCTATACTTTTATAGCAGTAGTATCTGCAGATTATTTTCATTAACTAACCCAAGAAATAGCCTGCAAAAAGCTGAGAATGCCAAAGTTCTTAAAAGTGGTAAACATAAAATAGCCAAGGTCTTAGGACTATAGCAGTAAATCAAGAAAAAATAATACGTGTCACTGTTACCTAGACAATGACATCTATTATTTTTTACAATTATATATGTAATTGTACATGTATCAGTTGGACATGTATCTATTGTACTAATATATTAAGACTAGGTACATATAATTTACAATTACATTTAGTTAGTCTTAACTGATCAGACTATTACAAAAAGTGTGCTTAACTTTCTCTGTATCAATATGAAGATAGATACTTCTTAAATTATCTTGAAATTGATATGAAAGATATTGGATATAAACAGGTAAATAAGAACTAAACTATATTCTTAAGAGGAAATTGGCTTTGTAAATTTTAATAGTAACAATAAGATCAATGTAATCAGGCCAAAGGTCATGAGACTATTTAGACAGAAACTGTAAATTAGAGCAGCCACAATCTCCACATAACTCTTAAACTGTAATCCACAGTATTAAGATGATATACAGAGTCATTTTTTTTTTTTAAAAAATCCATCCCCATTACTTTTGGATATAAATGAAAATTCAGCCAAACCCTTTCATTTACCTAAATTAAACCTAGATTACTAAACCATAACCAATAAGAAGCCAAAAACACAATTGCCACTGGTATCCTTGACATGCTCCATGACTCACACAACTCAACCCAAGGTGACTGCACGGCCTCAGTTTTGCAATATTTTAAACAGAGAAAACTACTGGAGGAAAATAGAAAATTCTACAGTGATTTGTTTCCTTGAGCATGAAGCTGTTTATATAACTTTCTTTCATGCTGCAAATTCAAAAGTTTTAGATCACTTGAAAATGTTCATATAGCTCATAATTTCAAAAGAATTATTTGCAAATATATAACATATTTGGCCAAAGGTTTTAGAAAAATGACATTCTATCACCATTACATTCATACCTTACAAACTGTGTCCACATCCCAAGGTATTATAGTCCTCAGATCAATAATTTCACAAGACACTCCAAGCTTTTCTTTTGCCATGGAAGCTACCTCCCGAATTACATGAACCTGAAATAAAGAGAAAATTATGCAGAGAATGACTACAAGGTTCCAGCCTGAAAAACTAGTTGAATTCTGACATCACTATTAGAGACATTATTTAAAGTCTCAGGAATTGATCTGCGTGGAGAATTCATAAATTTGTTTTAAATATGTTGAATCTCATATTGTGCCAAAATAAGTATAGACATCTAGAAAACAGATGGAAAGAGATGCTTAGAGAAAAAGAGAGAAGTGAGTACCACAGATACTGGTTACAAAGGTGGCACACAGAAGGTAAACAGTCACACCAGTACATAGAAAGCATGTAGAGGAAGAAGAGCAAAAATTGCCAACATTTAAGGAAAAAAATGGAGCAAGAGGAGAGGAAGGAAAAAGGAGAGGGATGGAGGGAGGGAGGGAAAGAAAGGAAAAAAAATGGGGGGATAAAAAGAACAATTAAAGAAAGAGCTAGAAAGAAAACCAGGAGACAGTGTATTCCAGAAGCTGAAAAGATTTTACAGGGATAGCAGCCAGTATCACATACCATAGCAGGAATAAGAGCTGAATTTAAACAACTAAATTAGTAATGTTGACAAAAACAGTAAATTAGTAGGAACAGAACTCACAGGTACAAGAATAAAATGAAGTTAAGAAACTAAATATAGATGATAGAAAACAGTTGTTCAAGTTCAGTGTTAAAAGGAAGGAGATGTAATAGTATTTCCAGTGAGAGGAATTCTTTAAATAGTGAAGAGAGACATACTTTTTAAATAAGAACAACAAGAAATGGAAAACTGAAGATGAAAGTGAGAGAGAGACTAGCTAATAGATCACAGTCCTGGAGAAGATAAAATGGAATGCAGTCTGAAACAGATTTTGCAGAGGTCGTTATGAAAACCAGATACCTCTTCTTCAAAGACAAAGGGAAGAAGAAAAAAATTAAAAGCAAAACTAAGAGCAAGCCATGTGAGTTAATACCTAATACACCCTAACTTCCGCACTGAAAAGAGAAGTAAGGTCATGAGCTGAGAGTAACAGAGATGTGGATTAAAAAGTGGACTGAAGGACAGCAAAAAGGGTTGCCACATCCACCAAGGGCACTGTCAATGGAATACAACTCACCAAGCAGCACAGTTATCTCACTGATGGAGAGAAACCATGAGGACCATAGCTCTCCACACAAAAAATCAAAAGGAGCAGAGAGCAGAAGCTTGTGTTATTGAAATCTATTTTTATTATCTTCTTTATATTGTGTTGCCCTAAAGTTCCTAAAATAAGGATTTCCTTTATACAGAAAAAGAAAAATTGACCATATCTTTAAAACAAGGAGAGAGAGAGGTGGAAGAAATAGAACTTCATGGCAAGAGAGAAAGTTGGGAGGTAGAGCAATGTGACAACAAGCCTGGGAGGAAATGAACTGGATCAGTGGAGAGGGTCACTGGAAAAAAAGAAAGATACAGAATTCTGAGGCTGGAGCAGTGGATGGGTCCACATGGCCAGCAAAGTAACCATGAGAGATGGCAGGAAATGTGATGAAAAAGATTATAAGTCATTTGCAGCAAAAGTAACCTGGGTATAATGTACTTCAAAAGAAATGTGTTTTTACTTAATACACTGTTGCAATATATTTATGACCACCACATGCTTACACATTTTAATATAAATAGAACCTCACCTTCACTGAGAAATCAGTACCACAGACCTCA